CTTTTTCATCTTGAGTTTTGAGTCACAAAATAGATACACTTCTCACATAGGCCTTTACCTTGCACTCACTGATCATGGGAAGAGTTGAGTAGCCAGGATCACAATCCCCTCCCAAGTTGGCTGAGGGGCATTTCTGCCTGACAAAGTGCAGGATCAGCCCCAGAGGAGGAAAGGTTTCAGAGCGGCTTCTGCGGAAAGTGAAGGGTGAGATTCAGAGGAAATCTGCTCCAATGGAAAGCGTCCGTGGATGATGGTTTCAGGGCCCTAACTGGGTTGCTGAAATGAAGCAATCTTGGAATAATCCCAGTGAAATTCTCTGTGGAATGAGGGGGAGCCCCTCTGAGTCCTGAGTTCAAGGTCGATTCCTGCTCAGACGGCTGAACTCTGGGAGGGGAGGGAAGATTTTCCAGCGATGGGAAGGGGGACAGGAAGAAGATCTGGGGTCTCTGTGGCTTCATTGCTTCTCCTTTCCCTTTGCCTTCCCACATTTGGGTTTCCCCTAAGGATCCCATTGTCTCTCCATTCCCCTCCCCTGTTTTATAAAATCTCCCCTAATATCTGCAGCTATAAACCATCCACTTTGGCCTTTAGACTTTTTTTTCCCTGTGAATGGAAATTTGGGGTGTCCAAGTGGGGTTTCCTGCTGCTTTTGAGCTCCTGGTGGGGGGGGGAATCCGCCCTTTTCCCTGTGGGGCCACTGCAGCCTCCTTGAGGCAGAGACTGAGCAACCCAGAATGGGGTTTGAGGGAGGCCTTGATGGAAGAGGGGAGGGCACAATTGAGGGCAGGTGAAGACCTTCCCTGCCCTCCAACCCTTCAGGCCCTCCAGAAGCTGCTTCTTCCCCTCTCAGTCGCTCCCTCCTTCCACCTCCTGCCTCCTCTCCCACCATCTCCCCCTTCCTTCCCCCCCTCCTCCTCTTCCCCCCCCCCCACATCTCTTCCTCTTCCTCCTCCTTCCTTCCCAGAGCCTCAGGTGGGAGCCTCCATGGGATCAGGGCCCTTGACTGAAGCCCCCTAACTCTCCCCCTCTGGGTCCCTTCCAGGCGCCTCCTCCCACTCCCTGAAGTATTTCTACTCCTCCATCTCAGACCCCAGTCAGGGGCTGCCCCAGTTTGTCGGTGTGGGGTACGTGGACGGTCAGGTCTTTGTTCACTACGACAGCCACAGCCGGAGGATGCAGCCTCGAGTCTCCTGGATAGAGAAGTATGTGGGGAAGGAGGATTCCCAGTACTGGGACAGAAACACCCAGATAGCACGTGGCGATGAGGAGGACTTCAGAGTCGGCCTGGAGAATCTGAGGAATCGCTACAATCAGAGTGAAGGTGAGTGATGGGTCTGGTGGCTCCTCCGGCCCCATATTCCCCTCCCCAGGAACCAGAGGGGGGGGAAGGGGGGGTCCCTTCAAAGGGAAAAGCAGCCTCCACATCATTTAAAAAGTCTTTTTTTATATGTTTATTCTTTTATTTTAATCAGTATAAGATTGTCCTTGCCTCCATAGCTGACATTTTCTTCCAACTGCAGTTAATGAAAACGTGTTTAAATTTATCCATCTGTCCGTCTGAATGTTGATATGGATATTAATATAAACTGAGGTAAAAAGACACCGAAATCTCCCCTCCCCCCATGGAAGATGGAGGGTCCTTAGTGGATCTCCTGCTGTGGGGGAGGAAGGGAATCACAAGTCCCCCCCCCCAAACAAAGAGGCAGGTGGATCCTAAGGAGATCCTGGGGGAAGCAGGTCCTCGTCCTTCTGTCTGTTTCCACCCCAGAGAAATGAGGGATCGAGTGGAGATCCACCTGGGGAGACTAGATCCCTTTCCTTCTCCCCCTTGTTGGAGGGAGGAGTGGGGCCCAAATGCCAGGAGCTTCTTCTCATCCTCCAGGTGGAAGGAGAGGCCAGGAGGCCCAAATGGGGTGGGGGGCTCTTGGAGGGGGGGTCACAGGGCCAGGATCCTCCCAATCTTGAGGGGGAAAGAGGGAAAAGAAACAAACCTCCATTTGGGTCCCTTCCAGAGTCTCTCAGAGCCGTCATGGCTTCCCATCCTTGGTTCCTCAGGCTGAACTCCTGCCCTGCCCTCTTGGTGGGGCTGCCCTGGAGCGGGGGAGACTCTTCCTTCAGCAGCCCCTCCCCCCATTCTTCCCTCTTTTGGGGTGGACAAGATTCCCCTTCAAGGAACCTTATTTAGTAAAGGGGTGCAAGGAAATCTGGGTGTAAAGATAGGCTGCTTTAGGCTGAGGGAAACCTTCTCCACAAACCTCAGTCATTTCCCCTCCTTTTATCCCAAGGAGGGGCAGCCCCGCCCTTTTCCTCCCCCCTCCCTCCAGGGAGACCCCAGAGCTCCTCCAGTCCTGCCCCTGATCCCCCAGGATCCCCCCAGATCCCTCCAGGCCCCCTGCTGGCCTCCCAGGGGAGCAGAGCTGAACCCAGAGGGCTCCCCCTGGTGGAGGAAGGAGGAAGGAGAGTGGCCAGAGTGGAGGGGAGCCTCCTTTCCAGGCTAAAGAGCCCCAAAGGTCCCAACCTTTCCTCAAAGGGAGGCTCCTTCCACCCTCCCATCGCCTGAGTCGCCTCCTCTGGACCTTCCCCAGCTCCCTCCGGTCCTTTTCTGGGGTCTTTTGAGCAGAAACTGCAGAGAATGTTCCAGATGTGGTTGCTCTACCTTGATTCATGTAAAGGTTTATGACATTAGCCTCTCTGTGTTTTCAATACTATTTTAATGATCCCTGATATCCTGTTTGCCCTTTAAATTTTTTATAAAATTTGGATTAAACTTTTTGAACAAAAAACAAAAACTAATGGAAAGTAACCTAAAGTAAAGGAGATAAAAGAAAGAAATCAAAGAAAAATAAAAAAAGTACAAGGAAAGAAAACAATTAAAGAAAATAAATAAAGAAAAAAGACATAAAGAAGTGATTTCTGATATTCTTCACGGCAGTTCTAAATATAAATGTGTTTTAGCCCCTCTTAAGCAGCCTCTCTCAACCTTTTGACCCTGGAGGAACCCTTGAACTATTTTTCAGGCCTCAGGGAAGCCCTGAACATCCAGGCTCAAAGATGGGCTGAAATTGTTTCATGCATAGACCTGAAGAGATGCATTAATAGTGTTCTTACACTAAATATAAAAAAAGGAAACTTGCCTTTTCAATGTGATCGCTGTGCTTTCTTTTTCCTGCAGAAATATTCAAATCTGTGCCAAATTTGAGATAAAAAAATACAGATTTTATCTTCAAGTGAAATAAAACAATTTCTGTCTTTGCTTTTGATGCTTTTGAAATAAGACTGAGCTTGTTCTCAGAAGTTGAAAACAGCAGCCAAATATTTAGGGCCTTCCTGTGAATGGCAGGAGATTCTCCTTGGGCAGAAATCCAGAACTATTTTTCCCATGGGGAGATCAGGGAATCTCCTCTCGAGGGAAGGATCAGACTGCAGCTCACGACGATCTTCCTCCAAAGGGAAGTTCTTAGGCTGAGCAGAAGATTCAGAGAAAGGATTCCTCTCCTGTCATTCCTGGGTGTGGAAAGGGAGGGAAAGTGTTAAGTCCGGAGCGTGGGCACAAGGAACGCAGACGAGGCATCGAATAGTGACTCCTGTGGTAATATAACCTATTGATCATTTTATCATTTTCTGTAAGGCCT